GAAGAAGAAGAAGAAGAAGAAGAAGAAGAAGAAGAAGAAGAAGAAGAGGAGAGGGGGGGGGAAGGGAGGGGGGGGGGGGGAGGGAGGGGGGGAGGGAGGCCGGGAGGAAGGAAAGAAAAGAAAAAAAATTGGGTTAAATTGTGTGGGGTAGAATTCCTGGATATTCCTTTGAAAGGCAATGGTGCCAGCAGATATAAGTTTTTAGTAAACCAAATTTTCCTCCACAAGATAAAAGATTAAAAATTTCCCCAAATGGAGAGGAATGGGCATCTTCACCTTTTGTGGTCATGGTAATCAGTGGAGAAATAATCACTGAAACCTGAATGGTTAAGGTGGAGCTGGGCCTAAGTGTGTAGCCTTTGAGCAAAGTGGAGAGAGCTGGAAAGATGTGTCTCTGTGGGAGGACCATCACAACGGTCCAGACCTCAATTTTCCTTTTAACTCCCCTCCTCAACATCCCACCTAAAAAGAAAAAACCTTATTCCTTCTCACTCTTCTTGGCTTCTTGATGCAACATTCACAAAAGTTCCAATCAGTCTTACTGTGGTCTAGGTTACCATAAAAGTGTTATTAAGTTCACAGCAATGTCAGAGTTGAGAGGGTGGGTGAAACCAAAGGGCAGTTCTTTTCTCTGGGGTCAGAATGTTGCTGCCTTTTCACTGAAGGGCAGCCGTTTGTTCCCAGGTTTATTTTGTATAAAAGGAGTCCAGGGAACCGCTGAGCAAACCCTCTGTGATGACCGTGGAAAGGACTTGTCTGGAGTGTACTTGTCTAAACTACTGCCAGCAGCTCTGTGCCCCTGTGCCATCCCCTCTCTGCAAAAGCTGGCTTGTTCTGCCCCATCAAAGAGAACCTTCTCTGGTTTACACACCAAGAAGAGTAACTCAGTATCCCCTGACCATCTTCACGGAAGCATTGTAGAGAACTATGAGTTCCCAACCCTCAAACACTTGGAATTCACCCAATAAAAGGTCCTGCCTTTATTTTTCTACCTACACTAGGGAATTTAGTTTCTGTAAGAAAGGAAAAAGGTTGTGTTCTCGGCCTGCCTATGAGAGAAAAATAGGGACTATAGTCCCTTTCAAGTCAAAGTTTTATTCTTAGGTCAAGGGCACCTCAGGAGCCCCCTGCCAAATGCGTCCAAAGGCTTTGTTTGATTCTCTGAAGCTATCAAAGGTCATGAAGGTCATCATTTCACTCATGCTGGGCTTGAGAAACATGACCTTTTGCTTCTTCTAATGTGCAACAGAAATGAACGTTGAATAATCAGTTCATTACCCAGCCCTCACTCTTTCTCTTCTGCCTCGATGACTATCACCACCCAAAGATAGTAGGGTCACGTGGCCTCTAGCTAACCTTAAGTGTCTTGTCATTAAGTTCACAGCAATGCAAGCATGTCCGGACTTAGAGAACAATGGGAGACACTGAAATAAAATGTCTTTCTCTAGGGTCAAGACACCCTTCCAGGGGTCTGTTGGTTTCTCTCCCGGATAAAGATGACCTTAAGTCACAGATAAACCAGCCAGCGAACAGCTGGGACCCCAGGGAGCCTGTTTTCAACACCAGCTAAGAAACTCTTCTTCAGTAAGTTCTAGTTAATGGCTGAGGGGTAACAGAAGACTTTAAACAGCCGAAAGCAAACATCAGAAGTAATGATTGCAGACGAGTGAAGATATAAAAATGAGAGATCAAAGTACAAAGAGGACATTACCATAGGCTAAAAATACATCCCACAAGGCTAATCCAAAGGGAAAATATCAAATAGACAGTGGAGAAATCTGTGATGGAGCTAATACCACCGTGATCAAAACATAAAAGCTCTGGCTTTAAAGACCCCTTCTTGAGTCTCAGTCCAGTGGAATGACTCCTCAGTCCCACGAGTGGCCTCATATAAAGGTTTGGCCATTTCAGCAAATCCTGGTATTCACAGCTGACAGAATCCACTTTACCCTGGAAATTCTATGATTTGCCTTAGGGACTGGGATATCCAGAATTGTCTGTTTCCAGGCAGGTGATAGCCATCTTGTACCTTCTTTTAGAAGGTATTCCAGGTACGTGACTTCTCAGGCACATATCTGGGCCTTTTTAACTGACACCTTATATCCCAGTTGATCTAAGGCTTGCAGTAAGTCTCTAGTTGCTTGTAAGCAAGAGTCTTAGTCCCTAGAAACAATCAACTGGTCATCCATATATTGAAGGAGGCTTACTTCGGTGTTTGAAGCTCAGTATTCTCTCAAGTCTCAATAGTAGGTATCATCAAAGATGGTTGGGGAGTTTTTGAATCTTTGGGGTGAGCAGGTCCAGGTGAGCTGGCAGCTGCAACCCATCTCCCCACCCATTAGCTATTTGGGGCTGCTGGCAGTCCCTGAGTTCAGTGGACCCCCGGCTCCTGTCTGCTGCCAATAAGGCCTCAGCCAATCCTCAAGCTTGTCTACCTCTGGGTGCCTCCCCGTTGTTATAAACTTTAATGACTATAGCTACTAATTCAGACAAATTATTACCTTCAAATCTGCTAAGCAACTAAAGCTTCCTTTTAATATCTGGAGCTGCTTGGTTAATGAAATTCAGATTGATCAACATCTGATTCTCTGGTACCTCAGGATCCAAGGTAGTGTACAATAGGTGCCCACCAGGCAGTCAAGAAATGCACCCTGTGGTTCATTCTTTTCCCGTACTACCTGGCTCACCTTAGACAGATGTGTGGGCTATCTAGCAGCTGCTTTGAGATGCCCCCGTAAGAATCTGGGGATAGAGCTTTAGCCACTCCCTACGTTCTGCTGTGTGTAGCCCCGTCCTTCATCAGGCTGGGAAGTGGGGAAGGAAGTGTCAATAGTTGTCCCATCATGGGGCAACCATCTTACCCTGGGCCCAACTTGCAGCATTCTCCCCAGATCCTGTCTCTCTCCTCAGTAGCAAACAGAACCTGAAGGAGCCAGGCCCTATGTCTTCCTTGGAGGAGGGGGTGAGAAGGTGCAACATCAATTAACATAGGCACCATGAGTCCAATGTAAGGGATAGGGCAGACTCTTTTATTTAACCATGGGGAGTGGGGACTTAGACACCCTCCCAGCGCCCAGGCATGATCAAGACCTCTGACAGCGCCTGCTACTAGGCCCTAACACACCTTAAAAGAATACTCAACAATATCAGTAAAGGAGGCAGCTTGGAGCTTCCAGCTGCATAGACCACTAGTAGCCAGTGAAGAACAGGCTAGGTGAGGATGGCCATCCACATTTGGGGGTCCCCTGGTGCGGAGGGGAAGAGCAATAGAGGCTGCAGTTCATGATTTTTCTGAGCAAGTATAGAGCTGGCTCAGCCCAGGAGGTGGATGGCAAGAGGGAGGGGAGGAGGAGGTGCTTAGGGAGGGAGCAAAGGGTCCAAGGGAAGGGAAGGCAGCAGGGGAGGCAGCAGCTATGCTATGCCCCATTTGAGAGGAATTCCCAGCTTATCCACGGGATCAGGAGAGTTATAGGGAGGGAGAGAGTCATCCAGCTCAGGATCAGAAGGGGAAGGCAAGGCTAGAGGAATACTGGGCCAGTTAGACTTTCCTTTTGATTGCTTCAGTTGGATAGGAAGAATGGCAGTCTCATTCTTTGAAGAAAGAATAAGTAGTTTTAGCCAGGATGGAGAGTTGACCAGGAGACAGCCCCAGATCCTGATGTAGGGGACCTGGTCTGGATAGCCTGAATGGCTAAAAACATCCTAGACCCTAAGAATAAGCTTAATATCAAAGGAACCTTCAGGAAGCCATCCAAGTCAGGAAGCTGGCCATCCTGGTGAACAAAAGACCCCAAGTCGCTCCAGTTTCACATAGGAGGTAGAGACTGCTGCTGCATCCATGACGTCCTGAAAACGAGCAAGGACAAGGTTCAAGGAGGCCTTAGGTTTAGAGGAAGTTTGGTCCATGGTAAGAATTAATTCATAAACAAGTACAATAAAGATATCAACAGTAAACAAGACAACAAGTAAACAAAAGAGGGGAGATGAAAATCCAATAGACATAGACAGAAGGATGCTGTGTGATGGGCTCCATGGCCCGGACCAGGCCTAAGGAGTTGCAAATGAATGATGTAATGCCCAGAAAGAGGGTCAAGGAATTCCTCATTCCTCTTTGGCTTGGACGTCAACACTGCCTCTGCCTGCTCTCGAAACTGAGTCACAGTTTGTATGGGCACCAGATACAGAAACCAGAGAAAAATTTAATTATTGACCAGAACCAGTAGAATAAAGTTTCCAGAGGCTGGGGTGTCCTCCAAGAATTCTGTGATCCCAGATGATCCCCAAAAATGTTAGCTCCTGGGGTCACACAAATAATGGGAACCAAACCCCTGAAGTCTGTTAACCAGGAGCTAACTTCGTTCCATCACCACGGGGCACCAAAACTTCTAGCCAGCTAGGGCCACAGACAGAGTTCAGGATTCTGGCTCTGTGACTATGAGAAGACACCACAAGCTTCTGTCTACAGAAAAAAAAAATCCATACACCAGGCGGGGAGTTAAGGGAATTTTACAGTCTTGAGGTTAGGTCTTGAGGCCAGTCACAGGAATATTTTCAAAGTTGAGCTTGGACGTTGAGTCACAGTACATTCTGGGATTTACAACTTTTGATTCCAGGATGTTTGTGAAAGCCTGTGACTATCTTGACACAGCTGCTTTCCCAGTAGCTGAAAGGAATGTAGGGTAAAGGGTGACCTAGAAACAACTGTTAAAGGTTAACCTTTATCTAACTCCGCCATCATCTCTAATTCCCCTAGAATGCGTGTATAGGCTAGGCATACAGTTTTCCCGCATTGCTGGGCTCCTCACCACCTCGTGGCGTGGGTCTTCAGTCAAACCAGGTACTGATCTGCTGTTCCCACAAGCTCTGAGCCACTATTTCCCTAGCGTATTTCGCAGGCAGGAGGGACGACACGCCTGGGTTGGTGTCAGTTTTTCTCTTTTGATAGCCTGCAGAGAGTACCTGCCTACATGAAAGAAAGGCCCTGAAATCTAAGGATGAAGGCTTCACATAGGCACCAGCTTAACTTCTCCATGTTCCATCGGTTGTGTGGGTGTTGTCCTCAGTGATGGGGCTCCGCAGTCTGTTTTTGGAGAGTAACCTATTCTCTGGGTTATTTGAGGATTTCCATAGGACCCCCTTGGATCATAGGACAATCCCCATAAAACAACTCAATTGAATGCAACCCAGGCCTGTTACTGGAAACCTCTTTTGATGACAAGAGATGGTCAATTGAGACTCCATACTACCCATTAATAGGAAACCTCATTAGGATAATCTTTCTTCATGTATTTTAGGAAATTTCCACTCCATTAGCTTTCCATATCTTCCCTCAAATGTTCCTGAATTCCAGATGTCTCTCCCTGAATTCCCCCCACAACCCTATTTCTCCTCCACCTTCCTATCTAACCCTTCTGTTCCTGTCCTCACCCACCCCAGTCCACCCTATTTTTAGTCATTAAGTAAATGATAACCAAGGTGCAATCCATAGACCCAGAGAGGTTCGGTATAGAGGAAGGGTCTTGGATGGAAGAAACAACATAGGGTTCTCCCTAGGAGATTAACTTTGATGTTCAATTTAACAGGATTTAGAAACAACACCTAAGAATGTGTTTCCAAACGAGGTAGGAAGACCTCCACAGGTTTAAGTGGTGGTGTCTAATGAGCTGAGCTTTGCACTGAATAAAAGGAAAAAGTGAGGGGAATACAAGCATCTATCTCTCTCTGTTTCCTGGTTCCAGCAAAATGTGGCCAGTTTCCCCACATTCCTGCTGTCATTCATTTACCACCATGCTGGACTATACCCTTCAAACATTAAGCCAAACTCACCCTTTCTTAAGGTGCCTTGCCACACTAATGGGAAAAGCATCTGGAATCAGCGTTAATACTAACTACTATTTTCAAGAAGATTCTTCTATATCACAAGACCAGCATAGCTCTGTTTCCTGATGCTGTTCCTGAGCTGGTTGGTTGGTTATCTCTGACCTAATCAAAAGAGAACATAAAAGGCAGGGTCTTAGGTAACCCAGGTTGGCCATGAATTCTCTGAGACCTTGAATTTCTGATCCTCCTGCCTCCTCCTCTTGAGGATTAGTATCATAGGCTTGCACCTCCATAACTTTCTTACGTGGTGTCTGGGCTCAGACCCAGGTCTCCTGAATGCTAGAATTTATGTCCCTAGACCAAGGCTAACTCTTAACAAAAGACATATCTCCTTTTATAACGCAATATAGGATGGCAAGTTTTTTGGTACTGTGTCATGGTTAGGTCTGCACAGACTTTTTATCTTCTCGTGATATGTGAGATATCAATCTGGTCCCCACACTTGTGTAATGTTGTGCTCACAGGACCAGGAGGAGAGGGAGATGGTTATTTTAAACCAAAAAAAGCAACTACTAGTTTTAAAGATTTTACATTGGTATGAATTTTTGTATACTGACACAAACTTGAAGTTATTTTGTTATGCTGTGTATATGTTTCTACTCTCATTTAAGATGTATTTATATATCGGTACAAATTTAAGGTTACCTTTGGTAGAACATACTATACATACATTTCTACTCTTGTTTAAGATATTTTACCTCTACAGTTCATTTCATAATGTAATGTATATTACTAGCCCTTGAAAATTATTATTACAAACCAATTAGGATAATAAAGAAATGCAGATTAGTAGTTAGTCATCTATAACATTCAAGCTTGTCATGTTAGGTATGTTTTCAAGGTCAAACAGAGATATATTTTAGATAGACAGTTGGTTTTTAAACACTTAGGGGTCTAAAAATATAGCATTTAAGATTTTAATAATGTAAGGTCCTTTTTTATGACAATGAGATATTGTCCTGGCAGTGCCAATCTACTTCAGAGAAGATGATGGGTACCAAAGAAACTCCTTATGGAGCTTTCTTTGTGACAAAGGTTAGCCAGCCTCTGGGCAAGAAACTGCCCCTTCCTTGACTCCTTAAAGTGTGTTGTCCAAATTGGACAGGATTGGTATCCTGATGTCCCTGCTGTTAGGTAACATTTTATCCCTCTGGGGTCTTTGATGGAGTTAAAGACTAAATAGTTAAACTTGTAGTTTTTCATAGTTATGATAGAAAACAAATTTAGTATAAAAGTTTGGCCTCACAAAGATAGGATACATAATGGAATATTTTCTCTGATTTTGCCAAATGCAATAGACTGGATATTTTGTTATACGTAATTTTACTAGGTCATGGGAACGGTCTTTTATGCCTATTTGTTCATAAATAATTGCCTAGTAAGCAGCTCTGTGTGTGGCTGAACTCCAACTATATACTGGTATAATCCACTCACAAGATTATAGGGAGGTAGTTAATTCTCTTCTATGTATGAACTTCCAGCATTCTTTAGAAGTTACTGGGAAAGAACCTAATCATTGCCCTAACTATTCCTAATTATTGAGGAAACTCCCCTGGTCCATTCTGTTCCATGGGAACACTGCAAACCACACAGCTTGGCTAGGCAGTCATAGGGACTTCCCCATCTCTGAGCCCAGCCGCGGTCCTTAATTCTCTTCTTTACTTGGTCTGACCTTTGTTTCTGAGCTTAGCCTGAACCAGATTTCCTACTTCTTCTGGATGTTTCGACCAATACCTGAAGACTACACTGTCTTCCCTTCCTTCTACTTCAATGTCCTTCCAGATGTTGCCTCTTGGGACATCCTTGGCTCCAGCTGTTGCTGTTGAAATGCTGTCTTTACACCCAGTGATCAGCCAGGTCCCAAGAATTCTACCTGAGACTCACGCCTCAACTTTTCTACTTGGATTTATTTTCTTCTCTTCACAGAGCTTCAGGAAGCTCAGTGCCCATTTGAGCAACTAGACATCACATCCACATGGTAGCGTGACATCTATTGTCTTGTGTTTCAGACTGAATGGAGAAAACCAGGAGGCTCTGCCCAAACACGCTTGTCCCAGTCTAGCCCTCATCCTCACCCATTCAGCTGTAACAGTCCACACTTACACTTAGGTGCTTTGACTTTGCCCTCGTTGGAATTTGGAAACAAACAGAGTTAGAGATAGTGGGAAAGAGGCTACTGCAGCAAAACCAACATTGGGCTCTCCTGGAAAAGTTCGGTGTAAGAATGACTTAGCAAAATCTTTGTTTTTCTGGTTTATGGCCTTCCCCTCCTCCTCTTCCCATTCCTCTTTTCTTCTGTTTGCAGTGGTGACCATGGAATAGCACATTAACAGTTTTAAGTTAGTGTCCTTGATCAAATATCAGCAGAAGGTTAATCCCACTTCAATCCACATTTTTCCTTTTTCTTTCTTTTTCTCTCTTTTGAGACACAGTCATTGTTGCCCAGAGTAGTCTAGAACTTGATGAGCAGACAAGGATGACCTTGAACTTCCAATCTTCTCGCCTCCACACCTCAAGGGCTAAGGATTACGAGCATGCACCATCGTGCCTAGGTGTTGTGATACTGGGAATCAAACCCAGGACTTCCGGTGTGGAAGGTAAGCATGCTACCATCTGAGCTACATCTCTAGTTCCCTAAAGAGGCAATTTCAAAGATTCAGCTGGGGTTGGTTCCAACTACATAAACTCTAACAGAAAACAGGAAGAGCAGCACCTCATGCTCCCTCCGCCATGCCTGGCCACCAGGATGGACTATCCTGTCAAGCCACCACAGAGCGACCTTCCTTCTCCTAGCTGCTTTAGTCAGACCTTTCGTCAGTACAGCAGGACAAACAGCTAACATGCCTCTCTCTTAGGAGCCGGAGAAAGGACAACAAAGGTTTTTCCAAGCGTCCGGATGCTATGACAACACTTGAGGATGTGCTAGGTGCCATCAGCAGCTGTCTGTTTGTTGGCACAAGAGGAGAGCCAATGTTTAAGTACAGATGCTGCCACCCATGACACGCTAGGGAGCTTGGGGGCAAAACAAGAGTTCCCCTGATTTAACCAATGGAACGCGGGTCAGGCTAGCTACCTGGTTTCCTGGCCTTACTACCAAAGCGATGTGGCTTAAGAAACAAATCCTTCATAGCTACGTGAGGCTTGAGTCCCCAACTGCCTTTCTTTAACCTCAGTTTCATTATCTGTTTCTACAGGGGAACTCGTGGCTCTGTAATAATAGGGGTCCAAGATTTGGGAAACTGGATGGGGAGCTCTAAGAAGGTTTCAGGGAACCATGTCTCCAAGGCTGGTCCTGACAGTCCCTGCAGGAAAGCCAGAGAGGAGGATGTGAATGATGTTTTCCTGCTAGGAGATTCAGCTGTAGCTGTCAATTCTTTTATACTTCAATCCGAGCTACAAGAACACTGGAGATGCCCTTGTCACAGACATCTTAAACTCCTAAAGGGTTTCTTTCTACCGTCAAATTGGAGGCCATTCTTCTCCTCCTTTTTTTCTCTTCCTCCTCTCCTGCAACAGGCAGGCCTTGAACTCAGCTGAGGATGACCTGAGTGGCTGGACCTCCTGCCTCCATTGCTGAGTGCTGAGATTATAGGCATCCACCACCAGGCCCAGATTACAGATGGAACCCAAGGCTCCTTGCCAACCGGTTAGACAAGCACCCTCCTGACTGACTTGTGACAACGGCCCCTGAACCATTCCTGACAAGTCTTTTTGTCTTTCTTTCTATCTTAGGTTCTAAAGTAGTAGACTTGGATCCATACTGCTCCCTTCCTCCTTACGTTCATCGAGCATGTGGTCTGTTCATTTCCTTTACAAGTCCTTATATCGTACCCTCTCACCATGTCCTTCTCTCTTGGTGTGCCATGTTCGGTGTGAAGGATACAAGGAAACCCTAACCATCCCCTGTGACCCAGATGACAATGAATTCAGAGCAACCTGGGAAAACCTACGTTGTTTTGTTGACATCCACTGACTAACCTTACTTGACAGTTTCTGATTGGACTTAATTTGCTTTAGTTTTTCTCTGTGGCCTGGCATTCTCAGGCCTTTTCTCAGCGAAGCAATCTCTAATGAGGATCGAACACATCTATCCATACTACGACTCAAGCAGCAACCTAAGATCTAACAAAGTTAGCTCATGGGCCGGTGGAATCAGTTCACGGACTGGATAATAGAATGCTTGCCTCAAATGCACAAGGCCTTGGGTTTAGTCCCCAGTGCTGCAAAAGCAAACTGTGTGAAGAGGTTGCTTTGGTGGGCTTCCTGCCCTTCCTGCCTAGCCCCAGGAAGTGCCTGAGATGGAATTTACTTAACAAAACCCACCAAACATCCCAGCAGCTTCGTGATGGTCTCACAGAGCTGGAGGAGACGCTGGCGATGTGCTCTGAGCCTCCACCACTGTCCAGGGGTGCAACAACCAAGAGCAGGAGAAGTCCCAGAGCTCAGCGCTGTTCTGGCTTAGAGGACACTGCTAGCTTGGCCTTGGCTAACTTCAGTTCTCCCCCATCTTCAGATCCAAACCCAGATCTGCTTCACTGCATTGGCGTGAGAATAAAATATGCTGACACTTGAACTTAAAATCCTGGGTTTCCTTCTAAACACCTAAATCATTAATTGTACTTTTAAGATTAATCAGCTGGAGCGCTAACACACTACCTCACAGGTTAATATTAAACACTTCGATTCCGCTTGCCCTCTTAGAAGCTGAGTCAGAGCAACTGCTTATGCGTTGACTTACCGAACATAAGCAGAGAATTGGAGGACCAACTGGACCACAATCATTAATAACAGAAAACATAGAAAGCAGCCAAGGACTGAGGCTCTCGCTTCCCAATCAGAAAACCCTCATCGCTTTGACTTCAGTAATCCCACTCCGCCTGATCTCTACCAATCATTCACTCCTGGGCGGTTCACTAATGGCGTGACTTCTGCTCCACTTCTTTGCTTGTTTTGACTCTAATTTCGGTTCTCTGGAGTCAGATGGGTTAGCCAAGGAGGTGAATGATTTACCTTTTGTTAGTCCTTCAGGAATCACTGCCCTTTAAGGTTTAAGGTCTAAAAAAGGAAATAATGCATGTGTCCTGTCTTCAGAGTTTGAAATTCCACTGGAAGAAAAAGACGGTTTATAAGGGAAAAATGTGGTACATGTTGGTGTTGAGGAGGTGGCCCAGTCAGTAAAACACATGTGATCTGAGTCTGATGCCCAGCATCCACGTATGAGTGATGTGTAGGCAGTGCATGCCAGTAATCTCAACACTGGGAAAGATGGAGCCAGGGAGATCCTGGGTCTTGCTGGCTAACTAACTGTAGAAGAATCAGTGAGCTCCTAGTTCAGTGAGAGACCCTACCTCAAAAAAAATAACATGGGAAGTGATTGAGGAACACATCTGACATCAATCTCTGGTCTCCACATTGATTTACATACATACACATAAACATGTGTTAAATACCAAAGGCTTGAATAGACAGAGGAGCAGAATAATTTGCAAGGAGAAGCTCTCAGCTCTTAGTGTAGAAGACAAATAAAGCAAGAAATAGGACCTGTTTCATCAAGCCAAAGCACAGAGGCAGTCATATCACTTCTACATGTCTAATAAAATACGTGATGGTTGGTGTGGGACCATGGTCTGTATTCTGTCATGTCTGTATAGGTGGGACAACCAGACAGGAAGTAGAGGTAGGTCAATTAGAACAGGAGAATTCTGGGAAGAGGACTCAGTCCTGACCCAATCACAGAAGAAGCAAGATGTGACTGCCTCGCTGAAAAAGGTACTGAGCCGTGTGGCTAACACAGATAATAGTGGGCTAATGTAAGTTGTAAGAGTTAATAAGAAGCCCAAGATACTAGGCCAATCAGTTTATAACTAATGTAAACCTCTATGTGATTTCTTTGGGACTTAACGATTGCAGGAACCAGGCAGGACAGAAAACCTCAGACAACTGGTCACACACCCCACTAACTGAAGGCCCAGTAAGCGCCCACTTACCAGGGCATCTTCCTACACTCTCCTGCCAGCTCCTGCTGAAGTATGTAAGAAGCCAAGGTCTCAAAGGTCTCACTCAGTGCACGGGAGTGGCTTGAAATAGAATCAGGATTTCCTGGATTGGGTACTAACTGATGGTCTCAAACGTCAAAGCGAAACAGAAGAAGGACCTGTGAAGATGGACTCTAAAGATCTGGGAAGAGATCTCAGTTGGTAGAGTACTCCCTGTGTAAGCATAGGAACCTGAGTTCTAGCTCAGACACCCTCAAATAGCCAGGCATGTGTGCTAATCCCTTAGAAACAGAGTAGACAGCTTCTTAGTAATGATAATGCAGGCTGACCTCTGACCTCTACAGCATGGGCACCTGTCCCCTACATATGCATAAGATGGAAACTAAAATTGCTCATCAAATCTGGACTATATAAATATATAGGTATAAATAAAATCAGTCATCAGGATGGAATATAACGATAGCCCATTAGCAAATGAGAAATGGTCTACAGAAAGTCTATGGTGTGCGGTGAACAACGGTGTCTAAATTGTGGTCATGGTTACTCAACACAAAATGCTTCTCCAAGGCAGGCTTTGGGGTACCCAATGTCTGTTCCAGTCAACGTTTATGCTGGGAACAATGATCCAAAATTCGCAAGGATTATTGGTGGTTCTCACTATCTTCCAAGAACCTTACAAAAAAGAAGGAAAAACAAACAAACAAACAAAAACCAAAAAACAACAACAATCAAAAAACCAACCACCTTGTGTCTTTAATTAATAATACAAGGCAATTAAAAAACCACAAAAGTCCTATAGTGGTCCTTAAAGAATCTAGTTTCTTTTAGCTGTGGGATTAATAAAGTGCCAAATTTGGGGGATTTGCCCAAATATCTGCAGTATTGTCAGATAAAATGTTTTAGAAGCTTCTCTCTATGTCTGACAGGGACATGAACTAGGAATTGGAACCACGAGAATTGAAATGGGGACATTTGTGTGAATTCAGATGAATATAACAATCTTTAAACCCCAATGGCTTCTATTCTCCCTTGCAAACGGACCCCCACCCCCCAACTTGTCTGAGAAGACAAGACTATTTCTCCTAACTGAAGGTCCCCAGCTAGACTGGCCTGCTGGTTTACAGACTTATGCCTTGACCCTGCAATGTAGATGAACCCCTCCCACTGGTGCTGAGGTGCAGTAGTAGAATACACTAATCCAGCTCCTGTCCTTCTATACTCGATAGTACTGAATTTTGCTACCCTTTTAAATCTGTGCTGACTTACAATTCTGTTTTTATTTCTAAGAGAAGAATGCTTCCACTGGGGAATCTATCAATCACTCAAGAAAACTGACTATTGGCCATTTCTCTTGTCAATGAACAGACTACAACTAAGGGAATGTTATTGCTAACTTGAGTTAACTCAATGATAAGAGGACATCGGTTGTCACTACACAGAATAACAAAGAAAGACCCAGTCACACAGGGCTCAGTTTTCAGGAGTGACTCTTCATACCTCCAAGTCTAGGACTAGCATTTTTAAAAACGACTGCATCAAGCCAGTGAAGACAGGTAAATAAGAACTCTGATCCTTCTTGCATGGAGATTTTGGTCAATCTTTAGAAAAACAATTAAAGCTAGCCAAGTGTCCTAGGGAAGATCAGGGAGAAATGGAAATAGTCATTAAGAAAATAAAACTTCAACTACAGCCTGGTGGTGCTGCATTATGGAAAGGAGGACTATGGGAGAGGAATCATTTCTACTTCGAATTATTATGACTTGCCTAATTTCTATCACTCTAATAAAACACTCGAGATAATCAATGTGAAAACAGGTGATTTATTTTAGTTCAGGGTTCCAGAGGAGTTAGTTCATAATGGACTGGTCCCATGATTTTAGAGACTGAGACACAGCAGTATATTATAAGAGTATGTGGCAGAGCAAGCTCCTCACCTCATGGTCAGAAAGCAGAGAGAAAGACAGAAAGGGGGCAAAGCAGAGAGGGGGAGAAAGAGAAAGATGGAGGTCTGGGTACCCTTCAAGGCCGTCTTTGGACTTCTCAAGCCTATGTACATTTTTTAAACACACTGTGGCCCATTCAAGCTTATTTCTGCCTGAACCAGGCTTTATTGCATATCTGTAATAACTTTCTGACCAGGAGAACTTTAAAATGGTAAGCAGCTTGGTTGCAGTGGTCCTGGTTGCTGGCTCCGCCTCCCTCAGTCTTTCACTATCACGGAGGTACTGTCAGCTCTGGGACCATTGGGTGGGACCATGCTCATTACCTCAACTCTGGGAGGCAATTGGCGAATGCTGCCCTGAAGGAACTTGCATCATGCTGCCCACAAATCCAATTCAAGTGCTCAGCCTCCTGAAAGAGCCAGAGTTGTTCATGCAGCTAGCACAAACCAGGAAGCCTTCTTAAAGGAACTGCACATTTTTTTTGCTGCTACTGCTGAGGCAGGCAGCCTTCTCTTAAAGGAATTGTGCCTCTGTTTGCTTCTAGCAAACAGAGTCAACATGAGAAAATGCTGCTACCATGAAGCCATGCTTAACTCTTGCTTTCTGTCTTTCTTTTGTATTTAGAATTCCTTCCCAAGCTCTCTCAGGTTTTATGTGGATGTGGTCAGCCCACATTGGTGTACCATTTTGTAAGTGGAGAGTGCTCATTTATTTCCCAGCTGCCCAGACCCAAATAATAACACAGAAACTATATTAATTGCAATGCTGTTTGCCCTATTAGCTCAGGCTAACTTTTTATACTAGCTCTTACTTCTTAAATTAACCCATTTCTATTAATGTGTGCATCACCATGAGGCTGTGGCCCACCAGTAAGGTTCTGGCTGGTGGTTGGCGTGTTTCTCCTTTGGCAGCTACATGGCATCCCCCTGACTCTGATTACTTTCTATATATCTCTGTTCAGATTTCCTGCCTGGCTTTATTCTACCCTGCAATAGCCCCAAAGCAGATTCTTTATTAATCAATGGTATTCACAGCATACAGAGGGGAATCCCACATCATGTAGACAGGACAAACCCAACTATGACTCTCAGAGGTCAGGGTTGGGAGTATTGGGGATTAAAAAACAGGGGTCCAGCTGTGGGAAACTGAGGCAGAGGACTATAAGCTCAAGCCCAGCCTGAGCTATGTAATGAAGCCCTGTCTCCAAACACAGAGTCTGGGGTTGTAGCTTACTGGTATAGCATGTGCCTACCATGGACAAGGCTCTCAATTCATGCCCCAGCCTAGCAAGAAGAAAAGTGATCTCAGGCATGAAATAATATGAAGGTCAGGGGGAAAAACTGACATAATTGTTGGTCTGCACCTGTGGATGGATTGTCACAGGAAGCATTTCCCCAAAACTGAGACATTGTAGAGATCCATCAGCGAAGATTCTTGCATCAAAAGTCACCCACGGGGCTTCTGCCCATACACAAGAGAAGCATTAGGGGTTGCAGGACAGGCAACTATACCCAAGTGAAGGATTGGTGGTTGCAGGACAGGCACCTATACCCAGGTGAAGGATTGGTGGTTGCAGGACAGGCACCTATACCCAGGTGAAACATCAGTCGTTGTAGTTATTTTGATAGTTAAGGCAGCCTTGAAAGTCTTGATAAACAATTTGGGTGCCATCACCACTGTGTCAAAGGTTATATTTACAGCTGACGTGGAGGTGCCCTGCCAAAATGTGTGGCCTCTAAATTTAGGAACAAAGTAACTAACAGCCATGGCAGGAGAGGGTCTATCCACACGCCTCTTCATTTTCATTGTAGATTATAGTGCATTCATTTCATTTGTATTTTAATCAATAAAGCTTGCCTGAAGATCGGGAAATAAAACATCTGCCCTGGTCAGCCTTACAGGCCAGGCAGTGGTGACACACACCTTTAATCCCCATAGCCACACAAGTTTGCCAAAGAAACAGGGCAGTAGTGGGGCCCAACACTAATCCCAGCCCTAGAGAGGAATATAAGATGGGACAAGACAGCTCTCACACAGTCTCATTCTGAGATTCCTGGAGGCAGGATCGCCATTTCGGACTGAGGTCGAGGTAAGAGACAGTGGCTGGCTGTTTTGCTTTTCTGACTTTCAGGTTGAAACCCAATTTCTGTCTCTGAATTTTTGCTACAGTAGATACCAGTAAAGGCATCATTAAATGAATCCACATAAGCCCTAATAAAAAGATAACAGATTTATTAGGGAACACTTAGGATTAACAACAAGGTAGGGAGCTACCCTGGTCTTCCATTCTGCCCTGGGGTCAATGGATGCAGTGGTCCAATCTCTGACCACAACCCAAGAGCCCAAGAGAGCCCCTTCCTCTTCCTTATAAGAGATCATGCCTGCACACAGAAGTCATGTCCAAAGACTTGTACCCCAAAACTATTGGCGGAATGAATTCCCACAACATACTAGAGACCACTGCATGAACAAGAGATTACAGAGTAGACACAGGAGCAGGAATACGTGGTCACCTATGTTACCTGCCCCCAGACATACCCTTTAGAGGGCTTCTCTAGACTTCTGGAACCAGGACTCTAAAGAGTACACATCCCAGATGATCTTGTCAGCTTGTTTCTTGGGTGTTTTGTTTGCCAGCAGGAGACATCATAGAAAGATTCAAAGGCTAATGGAGGGAAAAGGAGACTTTGCTCTGGTTTCTATCGGCCTTCCTCTGGCCCAGGGGAGCTGAACTCTCTCCGCAGAGATCTCAGGGGTCCATGTAGCTCTTAGCCACGTGTCGTCTCCCACGCTCTGGGCAATGGTTGTGTGGAAACCCAGCTGTGCCTTGACTAAGTCACAGTCAAGCTCTAAGTCGCTCTGCGCTGTGTGACAGTGGCTTTCAGGCTGAGTCTTGCCCTGGGCGAGTCTGTTTTGTGTGAAAATGCAGAGGCAGGATGACTCTACCACTCTTTGTGCATGGAGACACCACCGCCCCCACGGCACCGGCCATGAGCAAACGAAGAACTTACTCCTGCAAATGAAAACATCATCAAAACAGAGCAAGGGTCCCTAGGCACAAGGGCATGACAGCTTTAATACGCCCTGCTGCCCCTTCATGTAGCGCTTAATGCTCTTTCAGAATCTGTTCTTGTTGTGGTTTAATAAAATAATCCTCTGCCATACCTGCCACCAGAATCTTAGCAGAAAGCAACCAAAACTGCTAAGTAGCTCTGACTCAGCTCCTTCGGTGACTAGAATGAGTTATGTGCAAGACGCATTCTGCTGTATTTTGGTTTGGTTTGGTTTTTACATGTGGACCATGACCTCAAATTCCACATGTTGAAAGATGCGCCCAAGTCTCTAGAGTTCCAGTTTTCCCTGTAGAGTCTGCCTTGCTTCCTTCACAGACCTGCTTTCTTTGTTCACAGAGCTCAGCTTCGCAAAGTCTCTGTGGTGAGATCCTTAACCGCAGCAGCCAGCGTTCCTGCACGGGGCTCCTTACCCGCAGCAGCGCATTTCTGCACGGGGTTCCTCACCCGCGTCAGCAAGCGATCCTGCACTGGCTCCTTACCCGCGTCAGCAAGCGTTCCTCTCATTCTTTCACATCCTGGTGGTGCATACCAGCTTGGTATCCATCCCGCGGGAAGGGGGGTGTCCCATGGCATCTGAACAGGACTGTTAATGAGAAGCCAGCCTCCCCCAAAAGCCATTACAGTGGTCAGAATCTCAGTGGCCAGATTAAGTGACACTTCGGACACAGCCGACAAGTGAACCATTACCTTGAGAGAGAAATAAGGGCCTGATCAGTGTATGCCACAGAGAAATGAAGACACGGAAATTCATAAGGACAATAGACAGGAATGGAGGGTACGTGTCCTGAGAAAGCTGTGTGAGAAACACAAATCTTTACATTGTGCAAGAGCATTCTCCCACAGCAGAAAACACTGTCTTCTAGGTATGACAGAACTGACAGGCAGCTGTGGCTGCCAGCTCCTGATCGAGCCAGTCAATATTCCGACATGGAGTGGGAAGGGCTCCTATTCCTAACTGTTAATGGAACTGTTAAAGGAAAGTCTGTATTCTTGGAGGATGTAGTCCTGGAGGGTGGACCACAGTCCCACTGGATGGTCTCACACCCAGAAGTATGCATGGACAGCCCAAACAAACAAGACAAAATTTGAGGGTACTGCGGGTAAATCTGGGAGGAATTAAGGGGAAGTGTTGGGGAGGAATATGATTGAAACACATTGTATGAAGCTCTCAAAGAAATGGGTGCAGTTTTTTAAACGCAGAAGTGGGCTCAGTTTGACAGAATGGACGAGCCGATGCTATCCTCTCTCCCAGCTCACACGGAAAGGCCATCTGAAGACAGTGAAAGAGAGCCAGCTGCTGTCAATGCGGAAGGAAGGGCTCCAGAGTCAACCGCGCTAGCGCACCCAGCCCAGATGTGGAGGACTTCAAACTATGTCTGTGCTGTAGACTTTGTTTGGGAAGGCCAAGCTGTCCAACACATTAATAATGGATAACATTCAGTACATGACCAATAAAATAAAGACCGCTGTTTTTAAACCATAGAAAGTTTAAACAACACCAAATTTTCACAAAGTAACTTGGCATTGTGTAATCTGAAAGCACCTAAAATCAAATAATTATTTGATAAACAGTCATGAGAAATTTCACCTGTGGTTCACTTAGTGATACTAGATTAAATAGAAATATATATACATATATACATATATATATATATATATATATATATATA